TGATATAGGCTGTTGTAATAGGATTACTATTGGAATCTTTATACGGGAAGCAACTAGTAGTTATAGTTTTTGAGTAATAACACTTTAAAAAATGTTTGTAGAAATATTTAGGATTTGACGTAATTTATTTTAATTTCGATATTATGCGGTACATTCTCGACACGAGAAAAAATAGCACACATAAAATTAATGCCAATCAAAAAGATAATAACATTATTAATATCAAGACGCATACCTACGAACAATCACCGCTGAAGTTAGTCAGCAGTCTCATCACCCTAAAATGTCACTAGTTTTGCTAAGAAACACACGTGTAAACAATGGGGAACTTATCATAAACACAAACAAAAGATCAAGGTTGTTAAGAAATATGCTTATCTTTGACAATTGTGGTCAAGTTAGAATAATAGCAGGTAGTAATTAGGTCAGTTTGTCCCATTCGAGTAAACTTCTCTCAAAACGTGATTACATTTCGTAAGAAACGCACTACTTATTTTCAAATAATACCCTTTTCTTGGAAGTTTTAAAAAATGGTTGGTGAATTGGTGACTAACCTAGATTTGTTTGTAAAACTAAAAAAAGTGGCAATATTAAAAATGCTGCGGCATTATTTGATATTATAAAATCTAGTTTAAACAAAAATTTAAGCGAAGACAATATCAAAAAGTTGAAAGCGTTTTGTGCAACATATTGTTCTAATCTTCACAGAAATTGGCTCAGTGCTAATAGAAGAGAAGAATATTTTATAAAGAAATATAGTAAATGGTTGGATGCAGATGTATTATGGCCCGATTATGTTAGGAGTGCTTCAGAACAAAGCAACGAACCATCTACGACCACGCCTATTACATCAGCACAATTTGCAACATCATCAAAAATAAGCGTTGGAACCTATACTGAGTTGAGTCCAAGAAAACCTTTCTGTGATTTAGGGCCTAAATAAAAAAAGAGTCGCGCTGAGAATATTGATAACACAATATCTTATGATGAGATATCGTACGTACATTCCATGAAATGAAAAGCTGATGGTCATGGTGACATTGCCAAAATCGTTGATGACTTGCTTAAAAATCCACAAGATGTGAAAAAAGTAAAAGAATGTATTATATTATAATTAAACTAATTAAAAACTAATTTGTAATTAGTAACAAAACTGAAAAACCATTGTTTGATGCAGATGAGGCTTTAGGTTTGTTTGTATCACTAAAACTATCCAAGTGGCAGTATAATACATTGAGAAAAAGTGTTGCAGAAAAAGGTGTGCATATATTTCCTTCCTACTTTAAACTCCAAAAAGCAAAACAGTCGTGCTATCCATCTAAAGAGGAGATTACACTAACAGAGATCACTGCTCAAATAAAATTGCAAGCGCTCTTAGATTTGACAGCAAGCAGATTATTAAAAGCTATACCGTTAAATGACGATTGTAAACAAATGAAACTAATACAAGTTTCATATAAGCAAACAATATAATCAGAAACGGAAGATAATGGAGATGATTCCAGCGTATTTATGGGAAGTTTAGTACCCATCAAGTTAGTTTCTGGAGAATCAACGATTTGGGAAAACGACTCGGCAAATTCAACACATGTGTCGCCCACTATTTTTTAGATTCTTTAAAGAGAACAAAGCAACCATAA